TATAAAAGTCCATAGAGGTGACATGTTTATGTACGTCCAGAGAGATGATGTGTGTATGAACGTCCAAAGAGGTGATTTGTGTATGTACGCCCATATAAAAGATGTGTGTATGTACGCCCAGATAAATGAAGTGGGTATGTACCTCCAGAGAGGTGACGTTGGTATGTACGTCCAGACAGGTGACTTGGGTATGTACGTCCAGAGAGGTGACGTGTGTATGTACGTCCAGAGAGGTGACGTGTGTATGTACGCCCAGAGAGGTGATGTGGGTATGTACATCCAGAGAGGTGACGTGTGTATGTACGTCCAGAGAGGTGACGTTTGTATGTAAGTATCAGAGATATGACGTGTGTATATGCGTCCAGAGAGGTTATGTGTGTATGTACGTCCAGAGATATGACGTGTGTATATGCGTCCAGAGAGGTGATGTGTGTATGTACGTCCAGAGAGGTGACGTGTATATACGCCGAGATAGATGATGTGTGTTTGTACGTCCAGAGATATGATGTGTGTTTGTACGTGCAGAGAGGCGACGTGTGTGTATGTACGTCCAGAGAGATGATGTGTGTATGTACGTCCAGAGAGGTGACGTTTGTATGTAAGTCCAGAGATATGACGTGTGTATATGCGTCCAGAGAGGTGATGTGTGTATGTACGTCCAGAGAGGCGATGTGTGTATGTACGTCCAGAGAGGTGACGTGTGTATGTAAGTCCAGAGATATAACGTGTGTATATGCGTCCAGCGAGGTGATGTGTGTATGTACGTCCAGAGAGGTGATGTGTGTATGTACGTCCAGAGAGGTGACGTGTGTATATACGTCAAGAGACATGACGTGTGCATGTACGTCCAGAGAGGTGACGTGTGTATATACGTACAGTGAGGTGATGTGTGTATATACGTCCAGAGAGGTGATGTGTGTATGTACGTCCAGAGAGGTGATGTGTGTATGTACGTCCAGAGATATGATGTTTGTATGTTCCTCCAGAGACATGACGTGTGTATGTACGTCCAGAGAGGTGACGTGTGTATGAAAGTCCATAGAGGTGACGTGTGTATGTACGTCCAGAGTTGCTGATGTGTGTATTATACGCCCAGAGAGATGACGTGGTTATGCACGTTCAAAGAGGTACGTCCGGAGAGATATGTTATAGGAATTTTCCAAGGAAATTTACGTCCAGAAACAGGGGTGACGCGCATATGCACGTCCAGAGATGCGTCGACATAATTTGTGTCGTTATCATTAATGGTTTAACACTGAGTTACACAAGTCTAACCTGTCCGAACCTAACACCACAAAGACCAGCAGTTTCGATCGAAATATCTGAAAATGTTAATGCAGTTGGTATGGCTAATGTAGATGAGCGTTTATACTTTATACAATTATCCAAATCATACAGGGTTTGTTTCAGACAGGCTGTACTGGTATTCCAAATGTTATAAGTATGAATTAGTCATGCATAAACTGAAATGTCTGGCGATGAGATTACCCACTCGGAGCGGAGTCACCCGAGGTTTGCCGATTGTGAGATTACCTACCCCTTTGGATGTTCTTTTCTATCAGAACACAACATTTTGTCACACGAGTACTTTCAAACCAATTAAATCAACATATAAAACTGCACAAAAATTGGCACAGATACGAGTGTTCCAGTTAGCTACAGTACATTAAAGTGGGAGATGTTTGCTTGAATTTGAACTTCGCACTGCATGCCAAACAACTGGAGCATCTAATGAAAGTTTAGTTAGTTCCGAATATCGTTATGTAAAACTGCTACCTTTGTCAGGATTTATTATGAACTAGTTTAGTTTTTCTTGACTTTATAACGAAGATAAGGAATTCCATTGTCCTGCTGTACGTGTGAATTATATGATCATATGTACAACATAACACAATGTGACACTGGTATTTTACTTGTATGTTAGCACATACAGGTCTTCAACACTTAAAGGCTGTCTGTTAAACTCACTCAAAGCTACCACTTACCACTCGAGATTCATTCCAGTTTATCAAGAATTCATTAACGTGTTAAGTGATATTAAAGCACGGTTACGTCATACAACGATATCTATTTCGGCGTTTTGAAGTTGTTGCTTTCTTGTCGTTTTAAATGACTTCTTTAGCGAACTTTTACCGACGCATATGTCAACACCTTTAGACCTGTATGTGGATGACGTATGATCGGTTCAGTGATGACGTAATGGGGGTATATCTATACAATAGGTGGCAGACTGACAACGTAGACGGCTAAACACATTCAGCTAAACACATTCCAATGCATCAAAATATTTTGTATTTAAATTAACAAAAGGAAGAAGGCTGTCACCTTATTCTGCAGATGAACTGTTAACATTTGTGTACTATGCTGTCTCTAGTCCTGAAATGTGACTAAGACGATGTTGAGATACATGTAGTTATTATCGTGTAACACTATGTCCATTTCACTGTTTATTTGTAATCTCTTAAAGGAGGAATAAAAATATTCGATTGAATGACAGTATAGTTACATTTTTTCTATCGTTCAAAGCATATAAAACCGCCTTTATTTGACCTTAGTCGCTGCTAGGACATTTAACTCCAAACAAATAATCAAATCAAACCCGACTTATTGTATTAGTCATCATCTGATTGGGCTATGAACATTATCTTTGAATCCATCAGCTAGCTTTAAACTTCTGTAACTGTATGAACAGACAGCTCCATTGACATTGAAGTGTAATTGCCAACATATCTTCTCAACACAATCTCGGTTCTCTGTTTCTGAGTTTATATTATACCCGATATTTAATGAATGGCATACCACACACCAGAGTTAACGACGCGTGTTCTACCTACAATATAAATATAAACATTACCACAATTACCAATATCGTAACCTCGCCTCATTTTTTCCCTGGCTATTTACATAAGAACACCAGGGGTCTATATAATACTATGCTAATTGATTACAAACTCGCAATAAGCTGCTCGCGATCGTTTATCCCGCTACATTAAATAAATTTGTACGGATTAAGATTTGGCGCCAAGTCAGCAGGGTTGATGATGCTGAGGGAGCTGGTGTGAGTCAGAGAGTGAAGAATAGTGGTTTGGGAAACAGCCAATCCACTCCGACCCCTATCTTGTCTCTCTATCAAACAGAAAAACTAAAACGTCACGGACACATGCGCTTGTTAGCTTTCAATTATTGACATGTAACTTATTTGTTGTATTTTGCCAAAGTTATACTCAAGCAGCTGGCAACCCTTGCTTTCCTGTTATTGTCATTAATTAGATAATATTAATTCAAGATTAAAAAAAAAGAAACATAGGGAAAACAAGAAATAGGGCATTTATTTATATTGAGGAACAACAGAAAAAGTTTACTAATTTGTTAAATTTTAATTTTGAATTGGTTTTGAACAAACTACAAAATACACAGATCGTGAAAACTAACCAGTCAGTAAGGTGTAGAGATAGTTATCAGACCACGTCACTGTTAGTCACATTCTACACACTATCTGTGGTTAAACGTTATATATGTTCTCCAGACTCTCCCTCCTGCTGTTTCCTTCATTGATAAATCTACTTCGATCTTCTTTCGAACGTTTTATCAACCTTTATCCGGATATGACGTCGAGAGTTCTGACTTAGGGTCGAATCTGCGGTTAATTGTCAATCACTACGATCTGATAACGGTTTCCACAACACACATATCAAGATTAAGAAAGAAACAAGATTTGTTTCACTCGTTTTCTTAGCAAAGACAATATTTGTTTACCAGCATAGTAGAAACAGCGATATGACCACACAATAAATGGCGTGTAACTCGTGTTTACATCAACGTCAAGTCTGAAGGTCATCAACGTCAAGTCTGAAGGTCATCAACGTCAAGTCTTAAGGTCATCAACGTCAAGCTTAAGTATATGTCTGATGTCATCAACAAGTTTAATGGTAATTATTTAATATAATATATTATTTTCATTTTATTAATATCTTTTTGAAAAGTAGTCAATTTTGATCATTAGAATTGATCTTTATTTGATAGTACGCATATATGTCAATGTTGATCACTTACACACTTACATATAGAAACAGTTTCATATACATGTATATGGAGAGTGCAACTATAGCTATTTATAATAACCTGGTTCTTCTCGAATTTGCAATTTTTACATGTTTCCCTAAGTTCGCTATTTCTATGTATTTTTCACACTCAGCAGTCCAATTTATACATGCTTGGCTTATTAATGTAGTAAATTTTGAAAACGTTTGCTCGCAAATCAGGATAGACTGGGCATGTGACCGTGAATGTGGATGGTTCACCTACAAAATCTCGTGAGGATGGTATCTGTTTATTAGGAATGTCATCGTAGACGTGATACAGGTATTACTGTACGACCAATTCTCCTTTCTAAAAAAAACTTCCAACATACGAAAGCAATTAGCTTTCACAAATAGTTATACTATATCTTGAATTAAACTTCTCACAAATCAGTAGATTTCAGGGAGAGATTTTACGATGACACTTATGGCCAACAGGTTTCAAGTACCACACCAATTAGCTTCACGTGCAACGCGAGCACAGGTTAGTTGTTATGTAATTTTTTAAACATGTACATGTATTTTTAAAAATTCCTTCACGTTTTTCACGTATCTGTTTGTAACTCTTTGAAAAAACCACCTAAGTATATTGTACATGCAAACATGCCGATGCGTAAACAAAACGTGATGTAAAACACCAGAACCATGACTCATAGTTGTAGTTTATCAGCTTGACCATCCTCTCTTTGTTCAAAAGAATATTCTTTCGGGTTTATTCCTAGCAGGTGTGTTGGTGTTATTTGCATGATATATTCTCCCTGTTGAATCGTTAGATATATAAAGTAAACTTCTCAATGCATGCATGCACAAGATTATATATGTTTGCTGGCCCTGCCAGGGACGGGATCAGTTGAGACCACTGGACACTGTTTCTTTATTAAAACAGAACAGTTTGAATAATTTGTTGTATTTATTACTTACCCGGTGAATCTTTCTCTAGTGACCGCCAGTGTCCAGGCTATACAATACAAGGCCAAGTTTTTCACTGTAATAATAAATGCTGTATGTGTACTGAATAGGACAAGTACTTCCCACGTGTCATTTTTACAACAATTGATATATCGTTCATAAAAAGTATATGTATGCATAGGTTTTGTATGTCTGTATCTATGTGACTAGAATTCCTAGAGAACGTATTTATATCTATATATATACATTTCTACTGAACTTGGCCTCAATATACCTTCTAAACATTTTAAAGATTATTTTTCAATTAAATTTTCAGTTGGCGTATGAATATTCTGTTATTCCGCGGAGCGCGGGAAGTAGTTCTATTTTAAAATAGATAATTTTCAATTTGTTAGGGGGGTTTTGTCAGAGGTTTCCAACTAAATTAAAAACTATTAATTTACATCTTCATTTGGTTTTTTTCGTTGTTTTCAATGCAAACAAGTTATACATTTTATCAGGACGACGTCTCACAGTGAGTTATGACGTCATAAACTTGAGTACCTTCCATGGTGATAGACTTACACAAGACCGATATTTTAGAAATTATCCAAAAAAATATTAATAACGCACTGAATGTAAATATAAGGATAGAGTCCTGTTTTTTCAACTAGAACTAGAATTCCTAGAGAACGTATGTATATCTATGTGACTAGAATTCCTAGATAACGTATGTCTATCTATGTAACTAGAATTCCTAGAGAACGTACATATATCTATGTGACTAGAGAACGCACGTATATCTATGTGACTGTTGTATACTGTTAAAATGATATAAGTCATTAGGCACATGTCCTAGATGTATATATTCCTATCTATCCTGGACATTGAGAGGTTAATGGTTAATGTCTATTCTACCACAATACCGTATTGTGGTAGAATAGACATTAACCTTACACGCTGTGTTATTTAACTCTCAGATCATTGTATAAGCATGCAGACTGTTTGATAAATATGAGGTATACACCACAAGTGGTATATGATTTTCCAGAGTTTTTATTGGTCGAGAAGATGAACCATGACTGGACGACTTTTTTCACGCGCTTTTTGCCGCCTGCTGTTTTGTTTACGTCGTCTAGCTGCTGTCGACATCCGCCAAATGTTGGTGACTTTTGTGAGGTTATGCGAGTGGAAATGGGGGTTATTAAGGCATTATCAAAAGAAGATGATACTTAAAGATTTGATCGCTAGTTTCAGGCAAAATTTCTCCAGACGCTCGATATCGTTTCGACGTCATACCGTCGCGTGTCCAGGTCGTGAAACCCAAACAACAAGATCTGTCACAGTGTCGGAAAATATTTCGTTCTCCCCACGTCCCGTTATCAATATCTGGAGGGCCTGTCTATGGCGGAACACTCACTATAAACGTCAACCATAGAACCGTCACGAAGAAACGCCCCAGGTCTATGGTTTTAGACATTGACAGCGATTAGTTCGTCTTCAACACTTGGCGGGAGGTAGACTTCGTACGATATGCTTACGCGCATATAGTCCGTGGTTAATTTATATCAATGTTTAAAGTCGTTCATCTATTATATTTTTTTCATGAAGTTGTTTCCGAAACATTAATTTTGAAAATGATTTAATTTGTAAAAGAAAAAGAGTCATTTTTTAATATTAATGAGTGACCTTTTACATATGGATCATATCACTACGCCAGCCATATTCAAATAATACTCCATCTGTTTCCGACTGAGATTGTGGTAGAAACAGAAACCACGACTCGTGGTTGTTGAGTATGGTATTTATTTCACTCTCGTTAGTTAATTTTCAAAAGTTATAGAAAGGCACTCGCTAAAGCTCGTGTCTTTTGTAACTTTTGAAAATTAACTAACTCGAGTGAAATAAATACCATATGCAACAACCACTCGTTGTGTAACCTCTATTTATAAAATTGTACAGTTATGAAAAATACTGACATTAACAACTTCATTCCATAATTCATTTACATCAAAACTGCAGCGTCAACGAAATTCAAATCCCCAGACTCCCCTTCTCACAAGTTTCACGTTCGGAACAAGCGTAGATCATACAACACGTTAGGCTGCTATTAAAGCATAAAGCTTTCAGTTGTAAAAACATAAAAAAAAGTATTCTCTTTAAAAGCATATCAAAGACAACTATATATGCAGCCTCATGGAATGGAAGATTACGATGTTACCAATAAAATGGAATTTCATTTCTGTAAACGTCATTTGCCCGAGATTCTGCAGTACAGTGGCACCAGTTCCCCCTGTCAATGTGTTCAAGTCGAGATTTACTTCACAAAAATGAATAATCAATTAAATTATCTGTATACGAGCATCAGACATACGCTCGCGTTCATCCTCACTCGAACCCCCGGGGACAAATCTTCTGAGGGTTTCTTCATTTGCCTCCATACCTCGCCCAACAATTTTCCAGGATGCATATTCGCCTTCATTGTCATCCTTAATTATGTAACTGATATTTAAAAATGAATATATTCCTGATACGTGTATATAATCTGTAATTTTCTTCTGATGTTACATATATAACGTGCCTATGCGTATGATAGAAGCCCGGTTATTAACTGATAAACAAATACCAGGCTTTGATCAAGTTTTGTTGTAGGGCGTCAAGCTGATCCACAAAATCGACTTGCGGGGTGTCAGCGTTCTGTGTCGGTATAGTACTGTGTATTAGAGTACGACTGTACTGGTAGGGTGGGGAGGAGGTGAAACATTCTTCTTCTTTATGATGTTAACTATAGTGCTGAGGAAAACAGGGGAGGGGGAGTAGACGTGTAAGCATTTGTAATTCTAGTGATTATTTGGAACGGAGGAGTAGACCCATTATCGGTCATTCTGGAGAGGATAAGAACTGTTTGTGAAGATATCTAAATATTATTACTGATCATAGTACACTTTTAAAAAGGAAGGAGGAGGAGGAGGAGGAGGAGGAGTTATAAAAATGTTCAAGAACCTGCTCGATTTTGTCATATGTCTGTACCTGGTATATTGATTAACATCGTTCCAAATACTGGCCTCCGGACATAACACAGTCAGACATAGGAGTAACTACTAGAGCTTAGTCTGTGAGAATGTCTGTAGGACAGGTTATATACCCCGCCGACAATGTAACAATTAACACAGCTCCAAAATACCAAAAATAATGTTTGCTCACTAAACGGTTTTAATGAATTCCTGAAGTCATCCGTTTGAAGAAAATTTCTTTAATGCATCAGTTGTACCTATTATACATTCTTAAAGAGTGTAACAGTCACTTGATCAGAACAAATTAGCGAGGCCTATCCCGGAGATTAAATACTTAACAATCTTCTGTAACGAGCGCACCTGTCTAACATGTAACCCGCCGAGACTAGGGTGACGGCTCGAGAACGATAGGAGTACACTGCGCTAACAGGTGGGGACTGCAATACGGCAACACACCACCAAGTCCACCCAAAAGTAGTAACTGTTCACCGTCATGATGCTATTTTGATGATGACATTGTTTGTCCATTTTTACACCGCGAGTTTTCTATTGTTAGTACTTGGGTACTGTACACTGTAGTCACTACTGAATGGGGGGCAGTGGCGGATCCAGAGGGGTTTTCTGGGCTTCAGGAAACCCCCCCACCCTGAGAATTTTCTTTAAAAATCATGTATTTTCACCACTTTCCTTATTTTTTCCCCACATGGAAACCCCCCCAGATAGGTGTCTGGATCCGCCACTGGGGTGGGGGGGCTTACTGTGGAAGGAAACTGGAGTACCGGATAAAGCCCACGTGGTCGGGCAGGATGAGGTGACCCCATACCTTTTCACGTCCGATTGGGGAATCGAACCCTGGCCGCCTTGGTGAAAAGCAAGTGCACTATCCATTGCGCCACCCGACCACCAATCGACTGAAACAATCAATTCGACAATTGTTCAGCATGAACACGGTTTTATGAAGTGTTTTTGTATCAAGAATATTTACTCCAAAACTTCCGATATTTCGTTGTTACGAAAATGATCACAGGTGCAACAAGTTAAAGTGATTCAGGTATCCGTATCTCATTAATTACAGTGATGGATTATTTCGGGATACTTCAAATCAGAAAACATTTCAGTTCCAACATATGTAGATGCTGACTGCGTAAAGGATATGTTTTGCCATCTGATTGGAATCTAGGATCCGAGTTAATCCTCACCAGAGAACTTTAGTTTTTCTGGAAATACATGAGACGTAAAAGATTAAGTTTGGTACCATCCAGAAATACGAACCTGTTTCCTCCCTGCCCACCGCTGAGCACGGATCACGGAATGATTAGTAGGGTCGCGTTCGTTTCACCGTCTTCCCTAGGATTTCGGATAGCCTGTTATCGCATAATGTTTCGCTGCGTGGGAAGATAGAATACACGAAAAGCTAACACGTTGTGTATTGATAATGTTCAAACACCGTGGAATGAATTTGTCTAAGATAGCGATCGATATAAGAATATTTAAAGCAATTTTTCATGAACTTCATCGATATTACTAAATACAGTTAAGCTTGATTATATTAACAAATTGAAGACAAATTAAAATTGTCAGAAAATTAAGCGTTTGGAGTAAGACTATTGCTATCTCCTTATGTTTGCCCATCTGTCTGTGAGCTATGTTGTTTTAAGAGGGGATGGCACACCTCCCGTTCCCTCCTCCGTACGGCCCTAGAAACCTTATCAGTCGCTACCGTTCATTCGGCGTGCGGGGAAGGACTATATAGTTTTATCCGTCACTAGTAACACATCTCATACTGTAGAAGTAGGACTCTAGCCGTCAGGATATTTCGTCGGAATTTCTATAGCTGTTCGACCAAAGGTAAGATGTCAACATTATTTATGAAATATGTAAATGTTAAAATTGTTCTTTCTTTCTGAAGTTCATCCAGGGGAAATAGTTTTATGTACTTGGCCGATGCCTGTCAAAGGCTGTTGGTGTTAACAGGTGGCTCTCTAAATTGATTTGCCCTTATATCTATAATAGACTAGTACTTGGCTGCAACAAGTTCAGAAGTGGTAATAGACACACGATACACGTACACAATTGTCTGCTCTCGTAAATCTGTTAGCAAGGAAAGTATAAGTGTATTTATAGATTTACACGTGCATCGTTGTAGCGAACAATCGATAGCATATTTAATTAGGCCAGATATATTTCTTTTTCTTTTCAAACAGAATAAGAGTAAACATACAAATGAACCATCGGAACGATATTTAAATAGAGACGTTTGTTCTAAAAGCGTTGAGGAATGTATCACGTAGTACAAACACGTCTAATGAATTTCTTTATCAGAAGATTTTGAAAGTCTTTTTCTATTTTTAAATTTGGTTATCATTCTGAAATTCAACATGTCCATTTTGATATCGCTTGCCGACGATCTGCTTACTTTTCAGACATTAAATTTACTCCCACACAGGTCAGAAATTATACAAGGGTATCGGTTTGTAGAATTTTATTTCGTGCAGAAACGTCTGCTTATATATATGTATCTAATGGAATGCTTTGGAAATGGAAACATCCAGGATAAATGATAATAATGACAGTATGTTTTGGAAATTTTAGGAAATAAATCATTCCACTTACATCAGAAACTGTTTTAGTGTATAACAGGCCTCTTGTGATGGGCCCATTTTTAAATTGAACTCTCCAAAGAATCGAATCTTTCCAAACGAATGTCCAATCTTTTCTCAAGGGCGTTTTCGGCTCTGTCTCTCCTACCCTGGTTAGCCAGTCTTCTCACATTATATTGCCCTATCCCGTAAACACACTCGCTTGTTTACGAAAGATTGTCCTGTTATATTACATGAACACGAAAACATCTTTTTCATAGAATAATGTTTGGTCATCACTTTTGATTGTTCATCAAAGATCGTCCGGACCCTTCAACACCAGCGTTTGTTAACACTAGACTAAGTTTGGTTAACACTCGCGTTTGTTAACAATAGACTAAGTTTGGTAAACACTCGCGTTTGTTAACAATAGACTGTGTTTGGTAAACACTCGCGTTTGTTAACAATAGACTAAGTTTGGTAAACACTCGCGTTTGTTAACATTAGACTAAGTTTGGTAAACACCAGCGTTTGTTAACAATATACTTAGTTTGGTAAACACTCGCGTTTGTTAACAATAGACTAAGTTTGGTAAACACTCGCGTTTGTTAACAACAGACTAAGTTTGGTAAACACCAGCGTTTGTTAACAATAGACTAAGTTTGGTAAACACTCGCGTTTGTTAACAATAGACTAAGTTTGGTTAACACTCGCGTTTGTTAACAATAGACTGTGTTTGGTAAACACTCGCGCTTGATCATGACATTTGGGGTAAAATAAGCAAAAGCCGATGTGCTCAAGTTATCATCAAACAGAGCTATTTGTAACATTAGATACTTAATTGAAAGTCATTTGTGTTAAAAAAGTTTTGCCATCTATTTCAGAAATTCTTTGCAATGTATTTCCATAGTTCTTTGCCATCCTTTGCAATGTATTTCCATAGTTCTTTGCCATCCTTTGCAATGTATTTCAAACGTTTTGCCATCTATTTCAAAAGTTCTGTGCAATTTATTTTTAATGTTTTGCCATCTATTTCAAAAGTTCTTTGCCATGTATTTCAAAAGTTCTTTTAATTCGTTAATTTCCCCAAAAAAGATTTTTCATGTGTTTCTGAAGTTCTTTGCTATGTTACAACTTTAAACAATGTTTTAGGAGCCCTTTACCGTGAAAAAATATATTGACAGTCTCTAAGAAGCTTTTTACCGTCTATTTCGGAACGCCTTTGCTATCTATATCAGAAGTTCCCTACCAGTCAATTTCAGAAGTCCTCTGCTATGTTACAATTTTAATCGATTTTTAGGAGCCCTTTGCTATTTATTAAGGAAGATATCGTTTACAGTCTTATGTTAGCTATTTACCGTCTAATTCAGAACGCCTTTACCGTTTTCCCCCTGAAACCTTTGACGTCTATTTCTGGGGCCCTTTGTCGTATATTTAAGAAATCTTTATACGGATCTTTTATGATCTCAGTCGAACTTTGATCAACATCAGACAGTATTGCATTATCCTACTATCCTTTACAGGGTCATGTGATACAGAATTATGAACAAGGCATCAAAATGTACATCTGAAGATAAAATGGACACCCATGATCACGTGATGTCACGTTCACATGTTACTAATGTCTCCGCCGCCTTTATGTTTTAAAAAAAACTTGCTCTTTGGATTTCAGTGATGGATCCAAGATAACGTAACATTTCAATACAGAATACAAATGAGGGATAGGAATGTTTAAGAAATCCCTCGTAACTAAACAGAATACATGATTGGGAAATGAAAACATCATTATGAAAAATGTATATTTGGCGCATTAGACTAACACCTATCAGTCTGTCAGCCATGCCTGGCCACCACTGTCCGCTATAAAGTACCCCAATCTGACGGGCACACGCGCCAAACTTGCCATCATTCATTCACAAACGTACCGCCACATGCTTTACATACATACCTCCTATGCATGTTACGCATGGTCTTAATGGCTCGTGACAGCCAAACAGTTGAGATTTTTTTCTGTACCCGTTATCTCTGCCAACAAAACAAGTTCGGATTGTTTAAAAGTAAGAGAGCACCGCCGGATGTTAGACTTATCTACATGTTCACATATCTATGGGAGATTCGTATCGCGGTCAGTTGGCGTCATAATACAGAAAGTAGTTTTAATACAACAGGTTTTTTAGATGAATCATTGCAAAATTTTCTACATTTGAATGATTTACATAAAGATTTACCACATTCAAACACTGGAAACAAGGCGTATAGGATCATGTTTCGAAAAATAAATAATTCTTTTTTTATATTGGTCAACGAAATGATAATTGAATTTAAGCAATATAATACAAGCAAAACATTGGAGATAGATGGCCGATACTTGCAGTTGGTTGTTCCATTTATTGAAATTAAATCTTAAATTTCAAAAACAAGTTTGAAATTTAAATACCATTGTATTATCAAAATCAATAAAAATACTAATTATGAACTTAATTCTGAATTATAGTCCTATGACTGTGAAAAGAAGGCAGATTAATACTCCTGTAAAATGTTGATCACTTTTGTGTAAACGGTTATAAATGTGTGAACTGTTTTGACACGTAAACAGTTACATTTTGTAAAAAGTTATAACTGTGTAAACTTTTTGACACGCAAGCAGTTACTTTCTGTAAATTGTTATAAATATGTAAACTGATTTGACACGTAAACAGTTACTTTGTATAAATGGTTATAAATGTGTGAACTGATTTGACACGTAAACAGTTACTTTGTATAAACGGTTATATATGTGTAAACGTTTTGACACGTAAACAGTTACTTTGTATAAACGGTTATAAATGTGTAAACGTTTTGACACGTAAACAGTTACTTTGTATAAACGGTTATAAACTTGGAAACTTTTTGACACGTAAACAGTTGTTTGTATAAACGGGTATACATGTGTAAACTTTTTGACACGTAAACAGTTACTTTGCTCTACCATGTTTTAATTTAACTCTATATTCTAGAAAATAAAAGAAGATTTATGTGCTCATAAAGTTTAATGTATGAGTTGTTGGCATGTACATCACTCCCTGTTTGACAGGTGATACAAGCTTTCCTCACTCTGCTGGTCTCTGTCTGGTTTATCCTACAGACACTTCAATATGAACGTACACGGTAGAGTTCTGTCTTATTTTAATAACCTTCAAAGTCAATATGCCATCTGTCGGTGTAAAACAAGATAAACAAAATGGCGAGAACGTTTGATTTGGTGCTGATTCTTTCCATGTTATGTGTAGTGACGAAACAGAAGTAGGTAAATATTTATCTCGTAGAGACGAAGGGTAAACTCCCTACCAACAACTGGCGTTATACCCGGGAAGGGTCTATCAACATATGTTCTTGGAGGGGGCGACACCCTATCAACAGATCTCTCAACAACATCAACCTTAGCAATGCTGATAAGTTGGGAGATTTCTTAAATGCTAATACTAATGGACGCGTCAGAAACAGCACGGACCCCGGAGTACAAACGATTAGTCTCTATCTTAGCCATCTAGTTGACAAGGCGGGCGCAGCCAGGGGACGTACCTTTGTAACAGTAAAATAAAGAACTCTTCAATTATCCAACTTGGTCGAGCTTTCTAACTTTAGAGATTCTTCAGAACTAACACATTCGATGCCACAGCCGAAGGTACGACAGCTTCATTTCAATTTAGTTCTATTTATAGTTATCCTCAA